GTATGTATGTATGTATGTATGTATGTATGTATGTATGTATTTTGAGTTGGAGTCTCACTCTGTCGCCCAGACTGGAGTGCAGTGGCCACTCCCGGCAACCGCAGCCTCAACCTGCTGGGCTCCGGCGATCCTTCTGCCTCGTCCTTCCAAGTAGCTGGGACTACAGGCACACACAACCACACCTGGCTAATTTTTGATTTATTGTAGAGATGAGATCTTGCCAAGTTGCCCAGGCGGTTCTCGAACCTGCGAACTCAGGCAATCCACTCACCTCAGCCTCCCAAAGTGCGGGATTACAGGCTAAGCCACTGAGCCCAGCTTCTCAGTTTCTCTTTTAAATAATGGAGGCTAGGCCAGGTGCAGTGGCTCACGCCTATAATCCCAGCACTTCGGGATTGCCTGAGTCCACAGGTTTGAGACCAGTCGAGCAACTTGTTGAGAACTCATTTCTACAATAAATCAAAAAATTAGCCGGGCGTGGTGGTGCATGCCTATAGTTCCAGCTACTTGGAAGGTTGAGACAGAAGGATCACCTGAGTCTAGCAGACAGATGCTGCAGTGGCCATGAGCGTGCCACTGCACTCCAGCCTGGGCGACAGAGTGAGACTCCAGTTCAAAAAAAAAAAAGGAGATTAGATTGATTGATGTTATGGATTTTTCCAACCATACTATAGATCTGTTCTGAAAATATTCCCTTGCAGTAGGCTGAGATAAAACTAGAAAAGGTGATGAAATAATTAATAGAAAGAAAGCAAGGATGACAAGGGGAATAACAAAAGAAGAAATATAAAATAAAACAAGACAAGAAGTGGAAAAAAACTAGTTCTTGGGAAAAATAAAGGCAAATTAAATACCAGAAAAATTAGGCCAGGGAAAATTCTAAGTTTGGGGTCCAAAAATTAAAAACAAAACAAAACAAAAAAACCCTCAATGTAACAAGAAACATCTGTAAGGTGTTATAGCTATAAAAAGATCTACTTTGGCTTGGCTATATGGCAAATTACCATTCTGAAAAATCCTCCTGCTACCAAAAGGTCTATAAACAGTAAGCTGCAAACCAAAGTAATATGCTAGCCTGAAACCACAGACACCTCAAGGATATCTGCCAATATGAGGAAAGAGAGTCTTGAATTTTTTTTTTTTTTTTAAAGACAGGGTCTCACTATGTTGCCCATGCTGAACTCAAATTCCTGGGTTCAAGTGATTCTTTCACCTCAGCCTGTTGAGTAGCAGGGATTACAAGCATATGCCACTGCACCCAGCTGAGTCTTAGGTTTTAGTGGTACCCTGAAGGATAGAAGACAGTGAGTGCCTTAGGCCCATATAAGGTGGGGAGGAGGATTCCAGTAATGGAAGAGTAACTTGAGCAGACTAACCTACCCTCAAATAGTAATTATAAAACCGGAACAAAGCAAAAAATGCAAGCACTTGAAAGTATTTGAAGGTGTGGGAGAATGACCAAAAGCAGGCATAAACTGGATGGAGTCTATGTGTGAAAAGAGATTTGTGAGTCTTCTTGCTAGACAGTAACTTCCCAATCTGCACAACTCATGAAGGCAGAAAGCTGCAGGCTTACTGGCTTCAGGTATCAGGGCTAAGTGGGCAAAGCGGCTAGAAAACCGGGGAAAAATATTGGAAGGGAAAGAACTGCAAAAGGGATGAATCCCAAAATCTACACACAAACTCTACCCAAATCTTTGGCTAACTGTTAAATCTATGCATGTGCAGAAGAAAGCCCACTGGGCCCAGTGGAAAAGAACAGCTAGAAACTGAAAGAAATGAGCAGAGATTTTAGCTGTATTCTACTGCAAAAGAGGCAGAGACTGGACAACACACTTAAGAATACAGTATAACAGAATTTGAAGTCTCTACAATGTATCATTCATAATGGCTAGTAACAATAAGAAAATGACCAATATGTAAATAAGCAGGAAGATGTAATACATACACCAAAAAAAGTTATCAATAGAAACCAATCCTGTGGTGAACCAAATGTTGCAATTAGCAAACAGGTCTTCATAGCACCAATTATATATTATAAATAGTCTCAAGAAAGAGGAAAATGTTTCATAATAAATGAACAGATAGATGAGAAATCTCAGCAGATAAATATAGACTTTTAAATGGAAATTTTAAAGTTGGAAAACACAATAAACCAGCTGAAGCAAAACCCCACAACTGATAGTAATTGATAGAAACGAAAACAAAAACAAAATCCAGGAAATAGGCAATCTAAAGACTATTAACTACCTTGACCTAATTAACATTTATAAAACACACCCCAAATAACTACAGAACAAACATTCTCTTCAAGTGCAAACAGAATATTCACAAGGTAGACAATACACTGGACCATAAAATGCACCTTGATACATTTCAAAAGATCAAAATATCACAGAGCATATTCTCTGTCCTTAATGGAATTAAATGAGAAGTTAATAACAGTAAGATATCTAAAAAAGTCCAAATATTTGGAATTAAATAGGTGCACTACTAAATAACCCATGGAGCAAAGAATAAACCAAAGGAAAATGAGAAAATATTTTGAACAAACTCCAATATATACTCCTTAAAAAAACTTAGCAAATTAAGAAAAGAAGGGAACTTTCTCAACTTGATAAAAAGTATTTGCAAAAAACATATAGCTTATAACATATTTAATGGTAAAAGACAAAATGACTTCCTCTTAAGAGTAGAATAAGGCAGAGATGTCTGCTCTTACTACCTCTACTCAATATCTCTGCACTGAAGAGCTAGCTAATAAAACAGGGGAAGAAAAAAGAACAGAAAGCATCCAGCTGGAAAGGAAGAAGCAAAATCGTATTCAAAGATAAAATGATCCCCTAGATACAAAATCTGATGGATGCTATAAAAATACTATTGTACAAGGTGAGCTCTACTTGAAGGAATACAACTGACAATATTTGTTACCAATGATAAAATTCAAATTTAAAGACTTTTACGGTAAGATCAAAACTGTTATCAAAAAGTGATTTTATATATTACGAGGGAGACCCCCCCAGAATTTATTTATAAAAAATTGTGCATTTATTCTTTCATGTTTAAACTTTAGTCACCTCCAAAGCACTCTCTGTTTGATGTAATATACCTACTGAGATGATTTTTCCACTGCTCAAAACAGTTTCTGAACTCATCAATTCTGATGCCTTTTAGTGCTTTTGCCATTTTTTTGTTTCACTTCTATACTGGGTAAACATCTCCCTTTAAGGACTATTTTCATCAAAGAAACAAAAAATGTTGCTCAGGGTGAGATTGGGTGAACAGGGAGGGTGGGGCACGTGGATCATACCGTTTTTGGTCCAAAATGCAGAACACTCAGCATCATATGGGCAGGTGCGTTGTCATGGTGGAAGAACCAGTTACCTGTTTGCCACAACTTGGGATGTTTCTTCCGCAAATCTTTATGCAACCTTCTCAAAACTTCCAGGTAAAAATCAATGGGTTTCCTAGAACATTCACCTAGTGGGGGAAGCCTGTACTACAAGAGGCCTGCCCTCCAAAAAAAAGATAATACTGGTTTTTGGGGGGTCCTCCTTGTGTATAGTGAAAATATGTCCACATTTGGAAGGTCTGAAAAATTCAGCAAACCAATATTTTACAATCAATGTGTGATGTTATAAGATCAAGCCTAGGTAAAAGATTCACTCCAAGTATTAAAAAGATCAATGGATTTTAATGTAACATTATTAAAGTTCTTTGATCTGGTTTTAGGGTTAAAATAACTAACCTTTAAGAAACTAGCACTTGTTGAGTTTTCGTGTAATACCAAAAAATATAATATGCCTTCCTTTTCTAACTACCTATGTGTGAGATTCAATTTTCTTCCTATACTTCAACTGAATAACATATCACAACAGATAAATGCAGAATCAAGCTGCCTACTATTAAGTCAGACATTAATGAGATTTGCAAAACTATAAATCAATGCTATCCTCCTTACTATTTTTTTTAGAAAACACAGTTATTTTTATCAGCCTGAGAAATATAGCAAGACTTCATCTCTACAAAAAAATTAAAAAAAAAAAAAGTAGCCAGGTATGCTGGCATGCACCTGCAATCCCAAATACTTAGGAGGGTGAGGAACGCTTGAGCCTAGGAGGTTGAGGCTGCAGTGAGCTATATTCACGCCACAGCACTCCAGTCTAGACAACAGAGCAAGACCCTGTCTCAAAACAACAGTAACAACAACAACAAATATATAATTTTCCATTTAAAAAATGGTAATTGTTTTATTCTTTTTATTTATTATTATTTATGTTTATTTTTATTTTTTGAGTTGGAGTCTCACTCCTTGGCCCAGACTAGAGTGCAGTGGCATGCTCCCGGCCACCACAGCCTCGACCTGCTGGGCCCCGGTGATCCTTCCGCCTCAGCCTCCCAAGCAGCTGGGCACGAGCTACCATGCCCAGTTAATTTTTTGATTTATTGTAAAGATGCAGTCTCGCCAAGTTGCCCAGGCGGGTCTCGAACCCACAGGCTCAGGCAATCCACTCACCTCAGCCTCCCAAAGCGCGGGATTACAGGCTGAGCCACCAAGCCCGACTGGTAATTCTGTTAACATGTAATGGGTTCATTATTTTTTAGGATAAATTATATACGTTTTAAACATCTCAGTTTTAATTTCTAACATGGTAAATATCAATAGATATAATCCACATAACCAAATGCTTTTTGAGGTCCTCAGTAATTTTTAAGAGTGTAAAAGGGTCCTGAGATTTAAAGTCTGAGAATCATTGTGCTAGATACTAGAACAATGTCCTTTAGCAGGCAAGAGGAGATGGGATCTAATATGTGAGAAGAAGAACTGACTTGCTCATCCATTATAACAGACAGGAAGGTAGAGTATGTGGGTACAGATGCTGGTAGGTGAATAAATGAGGTGGTAGAGGTCTGTGAGACACGGCAAGAGCCTCACTCCTAAGACAGTAGAGAATTAAGGTCAAGGGGCTACATCTTAAAGACACATCACACAGAAGGCTCCAGACCACAGCTCATCACTCATCCTCTCTAACCCTTAGAAAGCAGCATTAAAGTGGCCAATGTCTGAAACAAAAGGTGTCCTATCTGAGCCCCCGGAGTTGTCTGTCCGAAACTTTAAAAAGCATTTTGTAAAAGAAACAGAAGGAGTGCTCCAGGTATGGAAAACAGGATCTGTGGACCTTAGAAATAGAAGCAAGCAAAGGTACATTTTTCACCTTGTGATCAGAGCAGAGAATGAGATAGCGTATGGTAATTTACATGTAGAAGTAGTGCAATTTAATGGCTAGGGAAGGTTAGGGTCAGGTGAACAAGAAAATAAAAACTGTTTAAATGCCCAAGCTTACCTGTCCACTCCATCCCAGCGATATCCAGGCCAGATATTAAATCTGTTAGGAGGAGGTGCTGGACCATTATAGCGAGGTCTCACTAATGAGAAGAGTGAGAAAAAGAGATTCGTTACTTATGAAATTTAATTCAGAGCTGGATGGCAATGTGGAAAAAACTTCTACATGGAAATATCAATTGAGTTGAATCTAAGCTGCAGGCAAATACAATGAATTTAAGCTACGTGGGGAAGCCTTCTTTGCATATAGCAATGTATCAGCGCCCTAATGATTCTCTCTTCATGTAAGTCACCTCCAGCTCTGATGGTTCCCAGAAGTCCCACCTTTTTTATTTTTGTTCTCCTTGGCCTTATTCTTCTTGATGAAGTTGGCCATGGGGTCCCCTTCTCTTTCTTGTTCTCTTAGCATCCGATCCAGATCTTCATCATCAATATAGCGGGCCAGGGGTTTTTGCATCTCTTTCATTGCATCCTCCACATTTTGTTGCTGTTGCCGGCTCTGAGCAAGCCTTGGGCAAAAAGGAACCAAAAGCGTTTGCTATCGTGCTTGATATTTTCACCCCTACTTTGAGATGTACCATATTGATAAATTTGGAAAACCTCCTCATTCTAGTATCCTAGGCCAAATATTGGACAGGGTAAAATTCCCAGAATACCCACTGGAAGTGTGAAATATATCAATAATATCCAAAGAAGATTCAGCACATCAAATGTCCTGTTCCCAATAACAGCTTTGAAGGTACAACAACAAACTAACTGATAAGAAGAGAGAAATGACTTGCTCCAGCCACTTCCATTTGTGTTCCCTTTTAGTGGCTCCCTTACCCTTTTCCCCACTGGGCATACAGCTCATCTCTCTCTGAGTCTTTCTCTGCTTTCCTCCTTTGCTCTAAACGTTCCAGTTTCAAATTCCTCTTACGACCAGACTTATCACGAAATACAGTTTCAGCAAACTGAAATTCAGCTGCAATAGAAGATCACACTTAAATACAGGTATCCAAATCAAAAACAACATTCTAACAAATGAAATCAACTGCTTGGGATTCTAACGCCAAATAAGAATTATCTAGGTGTATATTAGTGCTAGGCCTGAGAAATGACATTTTTCAAGGAAAGAACCACTGGGACCCACTGAGAAGTTAAAATGGCACATATAACCAGAGCTGAAATTTGACAGCAATTAAAAGTGTAAGACATCAGGTATAATAAGCTACATTTTTAAAAAAAGCTACACAAGCCTAGTTTGGTCTCTGCACTTTCATATTTTTACCTTCAAATGCCATGGTTTCTTGGTCCTGTTTCTTGAGCTCCTGCTGCTCTCGCTGTATGTCAGTTAACACCAACCCAGTTTTAGCCCCAGAATACATGTGTGCAGCCTATGCAATGGAAAAGGGAGCATCCAACATTAATGAGACGATGCGGCAGTAAGCTCCATGGGTGTACAGTTAGTTGTATTGTCTGATGACCAGCAATAACCAAACTCAAAACTCTAGCTCTGTATTCTCATTATTTACCACCGGACTCAAAAAATATAAATAAAATTTAATTTCATGAAAAATGTAATTGCACCATCAAGTTTAAGAGTAAGCAGAAACAATATATTAAAAGGAAGGCTAAGTATTTGTATTTCTGACTTTTTAGTTTATAAACTGCACACATGAAGACTCATGCTCAGGTCACCTGACCAGAATCCAGTCTCAAGTTCTAAGCCCTCCAGTAGAGATCCACATTGATAAAAATATTCCATTTAAAGTACAAACCCAAGCAAACCTAAGCTCCTTAAACTGTGGATATATTTCAAGCTAATTACAGAAGATATGACCAAACAAAAACTTTTTCTAATATTCACTTTGTATCAAGATAGCAAACAGACCCACAAGTGGAGTACACAGTTTATCCTTAAGCAACTAAACTGGATTAATATTAAACTGTTCATGGACTAACAGAATACATAAATAGTGTCAAAGGATCTGGTTGAAACAGAGACTTCGCTTTGTTCCCCACAAGAGAAGAACTTCATTTCTTGGGGTGAAACAGGATGGTCTACTCCGCCAGGATCAGTCTTCAACAGAGAAGACTTACCTGAGAAGTCTGCCTCGAAGAGAAGAATGCATACCACAGGCTCTATTACTCTATTTCTTAACCAACTCACAAATAAGATTCCTTTATTACTAGTAGTGTTCATTTAAAAAATTTTTACATATGTAGAGGGTGCAAGTGCAGGTTTTTTACATGCATATATGATGTAGTTGTGAAGTATGGGCTTTTAGTGTACCCATCAACTGAATAGTGAACACTGCACACAATAGGTAACTTTTTGATACCTCAGGGTTCTCTTCAATACCTCAGAATAACTTTTTTAATACCTCAGGGTCACAGGTTCTTTTCAATACCTCACGGTAACTTCAATAACTCAGGGTTCATGTGGATTTTTTTTTTTTTTTGCTAATTTGTCATACTTTATCAGATTCAAAACAAAACACTGACTTCCTAGAAAATATGATCTCTAAAAGTAGTTTTAAGTATCTCTCTTTAAGCTTTTGATACAGAGATCTGTAGCCCAATTTTAACAGTAAATCACTAGCAGTAAATGATTACTTTATCCCAGGCACTATGCTAAGAGTTTTACTTACACAAACTCATTTAATTCTCACAATATCCTGTTGAAGTAGTTATTACTATCATCTACATTTTACACATAAAGAAGCTGAGATTTAGAGATATTAAATATCTTGTCCAAATCTCTTAGACAGTAAGTGGCAGAAGCAGGATTTGAATACGTGATCAGTTTGACATATGGTTTGTGCTAACTCCACTTTGCAAATACAGTCCTCAGTTCATTCATAAGAAAATAGGAAGTTTTTCTGGACCTATTAAAATGAGATTTGTAGAATTAAGAGGCCATAAAGGCAGAAGCTACTTGGGAAATCTGGTATTAATAAGTCTATCTGGGCTGTGTTATAGTCAGTTCTGCCTTCAGAGAGAAGAAAAGAGTTCCAAAGGTCTTTTAACTAAGATACAGTATACTTTCAAAAGCTACATCCCTTTCCTTTGGCTTGATTCTCTGGGACTTGTATAAATCTAGAAGAGAAGAGTCACTCTAAAAGAATGATTTGGTCTCTGAAAATTCTTACCTTCTTTCCAGGAGGCTGACTCCTTCGAGGTGGAGACAGATCAGAATCAGAAGATCTGGTTCTCTGTTTCCTCCTTGGTGGAGAGAGGTCAGAATCAGAGGTCCGGTGTCGAGGTCTATTCCGTGGAGGTGAAAGATCTGAATCAGAATCCTGGTGCCCTGAACTCTGTTTATGCCGTGGAGGAGAAAGGTCTGAATCAGAGGCTTTCTCAAAGTCACTTAGATAGGAAGAAGAATCCAGTGTGTGACTGTGATGTCTCCTAGGTGAAGAACTTATATGAAATTTCCTATGGCTGGGAGAATAACCTAGAAAATAAAGAATAAGTAAATTATTTAATCCCCTTGAAAGAATTTTAAAAAAAGAACTTACCAAATTGGTATACAATGTTTATTTCATTATCCCATGAAACACTGTCACAAGTATGAATGATATGGAAGAAGAGCAAAGTCAGAAACAACTTTTAAGACAAACGGGTAGAATATGGGGCTCTATTCCCAGGTGACCAGAGACTGTACTAGTATGTGAGATCTTAGCAGAATCATCTACGTCATAGTTACCCCATCCACAGAATGGTCAAAACAACTTGCACTCAGTGGCAAAAGTCAGAAACACCTAAAATATTCTGATGTCTTCAGACTAAAGGAAAACAACATATTTTAAATTAAAAATTAAAATCGTACTCAGGAAGAAAGGATGGAGTAGAAAACATCACCACACAGATCTAAGTTCTAGCTACTATATAAGAATCACAAATCACCATCCAGAGAGCAATCTTCAATATACATCAACAGTCTTTAAAACATCTACACCTTCTGACCCAGTAAATCAACTTCTTAGTTTTCTAGGAAACCTATTCACAAGTAATCAAATTTTCAGGAAATTTATCTAAAGAAGATGAGAAAATAATCCAAAATGGGACAATAGTTTATGTACAAAGATGTTCACTATAGAATTATAAAAGCAAAAACTTAGAAATAACTCAAAAACATGCAACATTAGGGAAATGGTTAAGTAAATTCATGTAACAGAACACCATTAAAAATTATATTAACATAGATGATTTTATGGCCTGAGGAAGACTGTGTTAAAAAAGGAGAGAGGGCAAGATTACACATGCAAAACTTATGTTCTGTATAGCCAGGGTTCAACTACACTAAAAATGCATACTAAAAAGGATGGTGGCTACAGTGATTGACTCTGAACGGCAGAATTTTGTGTCATTTTTTTCCTGCTTCTTTATACATTTCTGTACATTCTAAAGTTTTAGCAACAAACATGCTATACTTTTACATGGGATGGGAGAATAAATTAAAAGATACATAAAAACTTTACTTCCTGCCACTGTTAACTTTTTTTAACTCTTCTAAGCTCAGCCTCTCACTTTTCAAAACTTTTCCAGAGAAACTCCCCTCTCATACTTAATAAAACAAGAAAGGTGCAAAAAAAAATCTCCCAGGGAATAGGCCCCTCTCATGGACAGTCATATACTCACCCTTAGAACCAAGTTGCTTCTTATCTCCAAAATGGGATTTTGCTTGCTTTTTCCGTGGAGGAGAGAGGTCTGAGTCATACTCATGTTTGCTGTTCTTTGGCAGTGATGAATGAGAGGGTCCTGGCCCCTTCCAATGTGGGGAGTTCTTGCTAGAGGCTCTTTCTGGGGCTTTACTGCTTTTGGTTTTGGGCAGTGAATGAGTGACATCAGAAGCCAAATCGGGGGAGTCATGACGGGCCCTCCAGAGTTTTCGTGTGTCCGAGGAGTCAAGAGTCCTCCTAGGTTGAGATAAGTTAGGGGAGTTGTTATGGGCCCTTCTGGGGGAAGAGAGATCTGAGGAACCGTGACAGGCTCTTCTAGGAGATGAATCTGGTGAGTCATGACGGAACCTCCTAGGAGATATACCTGTAGAATTACGATGAGGCTTCCTAGGGGGAGAAGGATCTGGAGAATCATGACGGGCTCTCCTGGGGGGTGAAGCATCTGAAGAGTCATGACGGACCCTCCTGGGAGGAGATGCGTCTGAGTCATGACGGGCCCTTCTTGGGGGAGACGGATCTGGGGTGTCATGACGGACCCTCCTGGGAGGAGAAGGATCTGGGGAATCATGACGGGCCCTCCTAGGAGGCGATGAATCCGGGGAATCATGACGGACCCTCCTAGGAGGAGATGAATCCGGGGAATCATGACGGACCCTCCTAGGAGGAGATGAATCCAGGAAATCATGATAGCTATGTGAGAGTAGGTCTTCATTGTGGCCTAGACACAAACAACAAAGAGTAAGGCTCCCACAAATGTTCTATCTACCCCAAAGTTTCAAAAGATGCCCCAGTAGCACACACTCACAATTACTCAGAAAGCCAAAAAGGTCTGCACAGCTCTCACGCTTAGAGGCAACAAACCAGCACTCATGAATATCTTAAGAATAACCTTTCCTATTTGCCTATATTTTCAAAGCATTTTAAATTCATTTTTCATATTCTGCTCTGTAAGGTAAACAGGGCAGGTACTCTTGCTTTACAGCATGAAAACAGAGGCTTTGAGGAGCTGAGTGATTTCTTACCGATGGTAACAGGTACTAAGATGAAGAGATAGGCTAGAATCCATGACTTCTAACTTTCAGTCCAATGTTTTTTCTAAAACTTCATTTGTGCAGCGCTCCTAGTCAGCAGCTCCTACTAATATTTAGCCTAGATAATTTATAATTTGTACTCATTCTTCTTTCAAAAGGCAAATTCACTAAACTGTTGCACATCAAAATGAAATGCTGCTTACTATTTAACCCATGTCATTCTGCTCCTTGTGAGAGGGGGAAAAACTCACCACAAAAAACAAAAGAAGAAGCATTTACTGATCACCTGCAATGTGCCAATGCTTTATAAATTAAATCAGGTGATTTAATTCTCACAAGCTTAGGAGATAAATATTATTTCCATTTTATAGGTTAAACAGAAAGATTAAGTAATTTGCCAAAGTAAGACTGCTACTAAGTGGTGGAGAAATAAGTATGTAAATACAGATATGTTTAACTCCAGAGTTCATGTACAATCTTTAAAATATGCAAAACTTTAAAATAAAAATATGTAGCTGAGAAAAAGTACAGTTTGAGACCTTCACTTTTCAGAGGCATAACAAAATGAAATGTCTATAGCAACTGAAACATTTCCAAAGTCCATTTCTTCCTCTACCTCTATTGCTTGTCATTGAACTCCACAGCCCAAAGACAAATAAAAGCTGGGCAGGACCAAATGAATACTTATTAAATGGATGAATTAAACCAAATCAACTCCTTTACTTTGGGAACAGGCCTGTCTGACTGGAAGCTACCCCACAAAGAAAAGTACTCATGTCTGTGAGGAACCTGACAGTAAATCTAATCCATGAAACTGATAAATTCTATGACATTTATAAAAAGGCAGTAAGGGTCAGATATCAGTGAGCATATTTCCAGTAACAAATTGGGATGGGACAGTAAGAGTGAGGCAGAAGAAAAAGGACTGCTTAGAGTTGGGCACAGTGGCTCACGTCTGAAATCTCAACACTTTAAGAGGTAGAAGTGAGAAGACTGCCTGAGACCACAGGTTTGAGACCAGCCTAGGCAAGTTAGAGCGACCGTGTTTCTACAATAAATCAAAATATCAGCTGGGTGTGGTGGTGTAGTTCCAGCTACTTGGAAGGCTGAAGGCTGGTGTAGTTCCAGCTACTTGGAAGGCTGAAGCGGAAGGATTGCTTGAGCCCAGCCGGTCGAGGCTGCACTGAGCATGCCACTGCAGCCTCAGCAAGAGTAAGACTCCAACTTAAAAAAAAAAAAAAAGAAAGAAAGAAAAAGGACTATTTATGTGTGTGCATGCACACATGTGTGACTTCCCAGATATACATATATGGAGACCAGAAGACTCTCTTTGGAAAAAGAATTATGGAATAGACTGGAAACGTAACTATAGAATAAGGCAGAGAATAATGGATAAGACTGAAAAGAACTGATAAAATAAGCCTGGTAATAAAGTTTTCATTCATAAAGCTAAATAATAATGTATTGAAAATTAACATCTAGATGGAGGCCCAAACTTCACCTGCTTGTAAACCACTCATGTACCTAATCCTAATACCACACATCTTTATAATAAAGTAAGAAAAGAAAATTAACAGAGGCAATGGTGATCACTATAACTAACTGTCATTTTGTTACACATTTTTGCTAATCAGAATTGTAGGATAATTAGCTTAATGCCACAGGGTGTTACACAGAAAAACAAATCCTGTTTAAGATGTAATTCTTTCATCCTCCATGGGTGAAAAAAGAACAAGCATCAGGGATAACTGGAGTTAAACAGCTAACAAGAAGCAAGATTTTTATGAAAAAATGAATACAAGGGGTTAAAAACCAGCATGCTAAGCTGGGAGCAATGGCTCTGGCCTATAATTCCAGCACTAGAAGGCTGAGGTGGGAGAACTGCTTGAATCCAGGGATTCGAGACCAGCCTGTGCAACATAGCAAGACCTCATCTCTACAAAAAGTAAAAAAATAAATTAGCAGGACATGGTGGCACACACCTGTAGTCTCAGCTACTCGGGAGGCTGAAGCAGAAGTATCACCTGAGCCCGGGAGACTGAGGCTGCAGTAAGCCATGATTGTCTGTGGGGGATGCTTCAGTCTGCTAGGTGACAGAGTGAGACACCATCTCAAAAAAGAAAGAAAGAAAACCCAGCATGCATCCACTGGTCGGTCTTGCAGTGCCTGAATGACTGCTGGAACCAGGACTATGATTCACTAGTCTGTGTCCCTTAGAACTGTGTACCTACCAAGTTCTTGGAAAAGAAGGAGTAACTATGAAGCTTCAAGTGATGACTAACCAATGAGCAGCAGGTTACAAAATTCAAATGCCCACTAGCAATTCAACATTTCAACAAATATTTATTAAAGGCATCTCCTTGTGCTAGGCGGGAAGAATATCGTGGCAAATAAGACTAGTTTCTGCTCAAACAGATGTGACAAATGCCTTTTATCCAATTCCCAAGGACTCAAAAAAAGAACAAACTTTTTCAAAAGGGAATTAAATTGTTAACATACAAGTATAAAGAGTCTATAGTGGGCAAATGGAGGACAATGCACTGTAAAATACCAATATTTAAGGGAAGAACAGAGAAATTTACTAACACAAATAAAAAGTACAAAAAACATTGGCCCTTGACCCTTACATGAGCCACTTAATTACAGAGCAAGCTAGAGGTTAGAGGTGGCTGAAATCTCCAAACTCTGTTCCTCTATTTTTTATAAGCTCCTCTCAAAGTCTTGCCTATACACCAAGTGCTCTCCTACTGTGGACCAGAAAGGAGTGGGTGCAGAGAGGCCTCCAAATGAGTCGCTGACCTCAATAACCCCAAAAACAAAGCATAAGAGAAAGAGAGATACCCAGTCTCTAAGTTTCCATGTCTTACTACCTCTGAAGAAGTCCTGAAGTCTTTTCCCCATTATATTTTTAGAATCAATGACACACTGAAACTATGCATTCCTATAAAAGAAAAGTGTAGAAAAGGAAAAAAGCCCTCCCTGATTAATGGGAAATTCAGATTTATCTACTGCTGAAACATACCTCCCAAAAGCTTCCATTTAGCACTGGAACGAAAGGCCTCCATCTGCTTTACCTCTTCTGGCCGCTCATCCACAAACTCAGCCACCTGTGAGATAAGGATTCTCTATGATGAAGAAATTCACAGGCTCCAGTCAAGAAGCACTGCTGTCTCAAGAACCTGAAGCTATGACCATTCCTATTCCTAATACAATGGTACACACATATCCAAAATGGTCACGAAGAAACATATAGTCGTTCTTAATTATGTTTGCTCCATAAACATGACTATCATGGTACTGGTTAAATTGTAGATCTTCCTCTGACTAGTCAATTTCCATCCAAAGGTTAATTCTTTCACTACCAACCTTTTTATCAACCTGCTAGGTACACACCTGCCACTTGTATGCTAACAGCGAAATTCCTTTTACATTTTTACTTTTGTATTCAGAGCGAAAACATAGCCTGCCTCCCTGTCATGCCCATCACTAATCAAGGACTTTGGGCTCCTAGAAAATCTTTCTTGTTATAGGTAGTTTTCTTGACTCCAACCAAAGGAAGCCACTGAGATATACATAGAATGATGAGTCTTTAAGGAATAAAACCACATTTCATATCCTCCAAACTTCCAAACAAATTGGAACCTTCTCTATAGTATCCGTGATAAATGATCACTCACCCAATCTCTCCTTGACAGGGAACTCTTCTAAGGCAGCATACTGCATTTTTGAAAAGTATTCGAAAGTTCTTAGTTTTACTGGACTCATATTCATCTTCCTATCACTTTTTTGCAACTGATCTCCTTTCCACATGACAACTTTCAAAGATGGCTAGCATAATAAATTCTAGTTAAAGAATAGCAATTATGTGCAAGGCACTGTGTTTTGTGCTTTATTCATATTATCTAACACAATCCTCACAGTAAGCCTGCAAAGAAAGAGTCCAGCCTACTGAATAGCAAACTGTGATTCACAGAAGTTAATTAATTTTTTCAATGTTACAAACTAGCAAGTGGTAGAACAGGAATTTAAATCCAGATCATGCCGGGCTCGGTGGTTCAGCCTGTAATCCTGTGCCTTGGGAGGCTGAGGTGAGTGGATTGCCTGAGCCCACAGGTTCAAGACTCGCCTGGACAACTTGGTGAGACCTCATCTCTACAATTAAAAAAAAAAAAAAAAAATTAGCCAGGCATGGTAGCGCGCGCCTGTAGTTCCAGCTACTTGGAAGGCTGAGGCAGAAGGATAGCCAGAGCCCAGTAGGTCGAGGCTGCGGTGGCCGGAAGCAGCCACTGCACTCCAGTCTGGGCGACAGAGTGAGACTCCAACTCAAATAAATAAATAAATAAATAAATCCAGATCATAATTTACTACTTCTACTACTTCTCCCAAAATCCTCCCATCATTCCTCATCTAACCTAGTCTTGCTATCTCTCACTGGGCATTAAAAGCACAATAAAGCTGGGCTCGGTGGCTCAGCCTGTAATCCGGCGTCTTGGGAGGCTGAGGTGAGTGAACTGCCTGAGCCCGTGGGTTCGAGACCCGCCTGGGCAACTTGGCAAGACTTCATCTCTACAATAAATAAAAAATTAGCCGGGCTTGGTAGCGTGCACCTGTAGTTCCAGCTACTCAGAAAGCTGAGGCGGATGGATCACCGGAGCCCAG